CCCACCTCGGGAACTGGTCTGCAGTTAGCGCGGTCCGGTTATGTCTATCTCGGTTCAGTTCAGGTTGTTTCCGTTCACACACGACAAGTTATCTCAGTTATTGAGCTTGGCCCGTTCTCGGCTCAGTTTTTTAAGGGTAGTGTAAACGGGGTAAGTATTACTTTAGCAGGGTTCAGTTTTGTCTGGCACCGTCCAGTTCCATTTCCACTCTAACAGTTAACTCATCTACCATGCTTGGACCGCTCTCTGCACGGTTTTAAATAGGTAGTGTAAATCAGGCTATAGGCAGGTCACGGTGTTGACCTGTGCATCAGAAATGTATTTAAACGGAGACAGAAGTCCACTGAAAATAAAAGTAGAAGAACTCAGAAGACGACAACAAGACAAACAAAGAAACCAAGATGGGTGAAGTTCAAGCAGTACAGATACTTTTTGCTTTACAGGTAATTATTATACAGCCACAAAAGGTGTTACTGTCAGAACTATTCAACATCTTACAAGGTTGTTGTACGCATGTGCAGTATGGCTCTTCATGCACCATGGAGTAGTAAACTCCTCCCCATCTCCCTGATGTACTTGGTGCCAGGCAAGCTCTTGTTTGGTCCAACAAAAAGGTGCAGTTCCTGTCACACCAGCTTCTGTCTCCAGGAGATGGAGCTTTTGGTGATCGAAACTGGAAAATCTAGAGCTTTGTTAGCTCTGGTGCAAAGATAGTTCCTGCAGTCCAGGGGAAAGGCCCCTGTATTGTCCTACGGCAGACCATGGTGAACCCTGCTGGCGATTGGAACTGGCCCCACTGAGACCCTGACAGAATAAGCAGGAGAAGATAGATGGATGGATGAAGTCAGGACCAGTTCTAAGGGGCACTGATTCTAAGGGGCACTGGCCCCTGCAGGCTCCTGTCTAGAACACCTGGTGTGCTGTAATCTGTTTGGACCTCTGTGCTTGTTTCAAATACTTGGGTCAATGCAACATATTCTCATTATCAGTTCGTATGAAATCGTACAAAAGTTATGCACAATATTTCGTAAATTTTTTACGTTTTTCCTCGAAAAAACATATCAATGCGCATGCGCAGCCAGACAGACGAAAAAATCAGATCCGCGGACGGACGTAAAACTGGGATGGACAGTGCAATAATTAATTAATGATGTCTCTCACTACGTTGCTTGCTGTTTTTTATCTTAGGGTTAGGGTTAATTCTATGTTAAATTCTATGTTATTGAATGGTGCGTAAGATGCGCATGCGCACGAATATCTTGTCTCGAGGCAAGACGTAAAAATACGATGAAATACGACAAAAAATATGTCAAAACCGTACGAAATACTGTGCATAACTTTTCGTACGATTTCATACGAACTGATAATGAGAATACACTGAATCAATAGCAATGACTGCCTAGTTAGAAATATTCGAATCAAGAGAAATTTACCAGGATTAAGGCTTATCTAACCCGCTGTACGCCCTGCTGCTTGTCTGCCCTCTTTCCTTCTATATGGTAACAGGCATCCTTTCTGGCCCTCACTCTTTGGGTCACCAGAGTGTCTTTCTGGTGGATTAGGGCCTGGTTATACTCCCACAGGAGTGTGTTTCAGTGCGTTTGTCGCAGGTATGATGCAGATATTTTAAATTTATGCCCAATTTTGAAGCGTTGTCCACAGTATGTTATTCCACACCACAACACAAGAGTGACAAACACGAAATCTGGGTCGCGATACGGCTGAGTTGGTGAGGTAAGTTTGTGTGACAAGGAAGGGACATGAGGGCGAAAAAGAGCGAAGATCCAGGTGGAAAAAGGTTCCCAGCATTCTTGCGCACCTCGCTCTTCTCGCTGGTACATCTTAACGAGTCGTTTTTCTCAATGGCGGTCAAACAAAAAAAAAAGCCTGTAAGGTACCAAACAGAGGCCTCCTGTCTGCGGTCAAAATAAAATTTTGGGGAGGTGCAGCAGAGTGTCTGCGAAGCGGTGGGCGTATCTGCATTAACTGCGACACACGCAGATGACCTGCTTTCTGAGCATAAACCAGCCTTTACTCGTCTTCCTAAAGCTACTTAAGGCCAGAAAATAACATTTATGCATTAAAAATTCTTTTTTTTTTTTTTTTTTTTTTTTAGATCTTTTGGAATATAATTTTCACAGACTTTAAAATGTCACTAAAATAACTAGTTTTTTTTCATAATATTATAAAGTTAACATAAGTTAGTCATTTGTTCTCAAACACAGACCAGAAAGCTTAGTTTGGTCCTACAGTTTAGATGGTTTTATTGGCATTTAACAAGGTACATATTATTTTACAGTGATGATCACAGTCTGGAAAGGTTAGGAGACAAAACAGAGCGGCACTATTGCAAACAGTAGAAATTCCTTCTCTGTAGCGAACGCAGCTGGGATAGATTCACCTGGTTAAACAAATCATTTGGTGCCATGAGGAAAAACAACGTTCAGAGGAGACTTTGATTCGGTCGCCGGTTTTTATGATTCCTTAATACTCACTCAGATTAAACCTTTTTATATAAACACAACCTTATAATACAAATATGGATTTTTTTCTGACATCCTAAAACATTAATAGATGATTAAAACTTTGCGTTTGTGTGGTGAGGCTCGGCTCCCTGAGGAAAAACATTTAGACTGTAAAATCTGTGGCTTGATATCCCTATAATACTGTTCCAATAACAATGTGGGTAATTTACTGGTATATTGGTCCTGACCAGAAAAAAAAGTCATATTTCAGGCAGTATTGATTTTCTATGATGCAACTAGTAAGCTTTGAGCAGGTTAACGTCTACATTAATGTATATAGTGCTCAGCATTTACTATTTGTACAACCTTAGCATGTAGCTTCATACATCCTATCCAATAAATACACAGAATACTGAGATCGGGGGTGGGGGATGGGGGGATTACATACAGTTTATTTTACACAAAGAGTTAAAAAAAAAAATCAAAAGAAGGTGATGAGTGATCTAAGTCACAGAAGCCATTAAGGATGGACTATTTACAGTGAGGATAAGACTGGAGTGGAAGATGCTAAACTGAACTATTCATTAGCAAAACCATAGAAGTGAAATCACAGAGCAACACTGACGGCGAGGTTGAGGAGTCAGACGGGAGGTGGCGGCGAGGGGCAGGGAAGGGAAGCCATGTTTGATATGTGCATGTGTGCAAACTTCTACCAGTATCACAATAAAAAGCATGACTTTGCAGCGCCCGCTGTCGGCATTCGGTGTCGGGGGCAGGGCCTGTGGTTTGGTTGGTGTCACTGGGGTTTAATGGGGATGAGAGCACTTTGAGCTGCCGTTTAGCCACTGCCCAGCATCTTTGTAGCACGTTGGTTGGCCTCATCAATCCGAGTCTTGTTGGAGTCAGCCTGAAAGGGAAGAGCGGCAGCTTTTACAGACGTGAAGACGTGTAAGGAGAGATGTTTCGGTGTCTCAAAATATAAACAGATCAGATATTTATGTTAATCAGGTTCGACCCATTAGTGTTAGACTTAGAGTAAATCGGATGTTGAGCCTTAATCCAAGCTAAACATCATTTGAATATTACTCTATATGTGTTAGCTACATCTTTGCTTAGATTTATTGGATTATTTGCAATTATCCTAATCAGTCATGCAATTTCAAACAGCAACATTGCATATATTTTCTATAAAACCTGACTTTATCAGGTCATCTCTTAAGAATAGTGATATTTTTACTGAGGTGATTTGTTAAATCAGATAATTTATCTCTATATTTAAAATGACAATTCCTCCCTAGTGCCCTAATATAAATGCATTACCTTGTCCATGATCCTTTCTATCTGGCGGTTCTGGGTGTCTATCTCCTGGCCCATATCTAAGGCCATGTGACGCAGGTTGCCAATGATCCCGCCCACTTGTTCCAGGTTTTCATCCATCTCGTTCTCCCGGGCGTCATCCGTTACCCTGCAGAACACCAATTACAGAAAGGAGATAACTGAAAAGGTAGCGTCATTCTGAACTGAACTTTATTCAAATTCAATGAGATAATTTGGTTTGTTTTTTTTCTGGTTCATGAATTGTTTTTGAAAAATCATTAAATATATATTCATAGTTTGAACAATATATATTTGTTTAGTTTTTTTTTTTTAGAAAATGTTTGGTTCCTTCTTTTGGTCTACTTACAGGTGGTTCACAGCAAAAAATAAAATAAAATGAAATAAATGCATTTGAGCAGCTAAATAACATTATCTTATATCTTTTGAAATAAGATAATAGGGTTTATTATTTAAAATGTAGAACATCTGTTTTTATTGGCAAATTGTCTTACCTGTTATGATCTTTTTTCAGATCTTATGGAATATACATATTATTTTACAGTGACGAAAAATAAAATAAATGCATTTGCCCTTAATTTGAGCAGCTAAATAACATTATCTTATATATTTTAAGATAATGTTAGATAAAATGTAACTGCTTGAATCAAGGGAAAATACGGTTATTTCAAGATATATTTTACTTTTCCTAAAAAAAAATAATGTATTCTCAAAACAAGAAGTCTGACCAAGTGCAATTATTTCATTGCACCGACAGATTATTGCAGCTGTTTTTGAGCAGAATTTTATTAAAAGGAGAATAACATTCTAACAGAATCTGCTCTTACTCAATCAAAAAACTTTTTTCTGGATCTAAGACTTGTTTAGATAGACATGTTTTACACTCTTTAACTTTGTAGAAAAAAGAAAAGATAAACTCCACTCAAAAAAATTTGTCCACTTTGTGTTTGTAAAGTGTTTTTTCTGGGGTGAAACCTGCATCTCACCCGATGAAACCACCAATTATCCTTCAGATTGGGTACGGAAACAGATTAACTGGATGGATGGTTATAAAATGGGGAGGTTTTACTAAAGTTTTCGTCAGAGTTCTGCTCTCTCTAGCTGTTTTCTGTCTGTATTTTTCCCCTTGTTCCTGTTCCTTCCCCATTACTCCCTCCTTATTAGTCCTGCTCCATATCAGCTCATTAGCCTGTCCTTTGTTCCGCTCCCCATATATACACCATCTCTACAGTTCCTGTTTGCTGGTTTCTTGTTGTGGTTTTGTTGCTTCCTCGTCTTTTGTTCCCCACATGTATTTTCCCTGACGCGTTTTTGTTTGGTTTTCAGTATTTTTGTATTTTTCTAGATTTTTTGCCTCAGTTGCCATTAAGTCCTTAATTAAATCAGCAAAACTCATCTCTGCATTTGGGCCCTAAAGCCTCCACCAAACCTAACAGTTATAGTCTTACATGATACATAGAGTAGATACTAAGGGCCGGATCTATCAAAGGTTTGCGTGTATAAAAACGTGAGCTATTTCACTGCGCACGCTAAAAAATGTACAAACTGATCTATCAACAGTGTGCTAAAAGGATTTGGTCTCTAAAACGTGCTAAATAGCGCCTCTTATCCATTTAGTACTTTTTCTGCAATGAATATGCAATATGGGGCGTTTACA